TGGGAATTCAGAATGCAAGTCTCTTGTTGAAAACTTAACTTTTGCAGAAATTGTTTTTACCTCTGTGGTCAAATCTGCACATGACCCTTGACTGGCTTTGTTGTACAAGGTTTGTATCTCTGGTAGTCTTAGCAAGAATGCAGGTCTCACTGTAGTCATCAGTGTTAAAAGCAAATGTGCTGCAGAGTGGACAATTTTATCTGGAATCTTAAAAAAAAAAAAAAAAAAAGAGAATCTTGTTCAGTAAAATTTGTTTAAATTTTTATTGAATGGAAAACATTTAAACCATTACAGTAAAATCAAATTTCAATATCTACATGTGAAATTCAATACTTTTGGTGAGAAAATTTAAGATATCCCTACTAAGGACGAAAGATAAAATAAGAAATCTATTCCACATTAAATATGAGTTAGATTTAAGCTTGCATAAATTTATAATCATTGACTACATGTACCTCTTTTTCAAAAAGTGGGATGCAGGTGTGGACAACTGTCATGATCAGCTGCTCACACTTCTGTCGCTGCTCCTGATGCTTGTACGATTCAACATAGTATTCTGCCAACCAATGGGAGTAAGCCTTCATGGCTGCCAAAGCTTGAGCATGTCTTAAATATTATATCATGGAATTTTAATTTTTATTTTATGAAATTAAGATTCTTCTTTATAATTTTGATAAAAGATAATTGTATTGGTATATTTTGGTAAAAACCCATAATATGTGCCTGTCACATGTGTGAAAATAAATACACCATAACTTTCATGGAGATTACCGGAGCACATGAGTTATTACAAACTTATATTGTATCCAAAAATAACTACTTCCCCTAACACACAATGAAAACATCTTAGCATAGAACTATATACTTACACCTCGATGAAATCTGCATGAAGCACATTTTGAGCAAAGGTGTTGACTTCATACAATTTGACTTTGGTTCCATACACACAGCACTGGACAACTCTAAAGAAGATGAAATGTTATGCAAATGTGTTTGAATGTATGTATGTATTATGCTGAAAAAATTATACATTACATATCAATGTAACACTTATGATAAAACTTTTTCTCCAAGTAACATAGCTTATAGATATCTATCAATAATACTCACTAATCAAAAATACCCACAAAACTTAAAGCAACTAAGAATAGAGTTTAAAAGGCAAACTAAAAAAGTTACTCCAGTCCTACCCATACCCTTATGTACTATAATGACATTACTTTGAAATCAAGGTCTGAGCATCATGCAGTCTCTGTGAAAAGAACTCCCCAATGAAGTGATCCACCAGTCTTCCCAGAGCCTGTAACGATGAGGACAAATCCCTCATGCTGCAGTGTAGACGGCGACACTCATTTTCTGCAGGGATGTTCAGCTTCCTCCCCTGTGGACCATTGGTAAGAAACTGCTCCAAGCCCAGGTAAATCTCCATGTTGTCACTGAATGGCTGATACTACATAGAAAGAAAACAAAGAAATGCTTGATATCCAAAAGACATTTCCCAGTTAAAGATAATAATAATGATAACAACAGAGTAGAAATACTTGGGTTTTTTACTTTAAATATCCTTTTGCTGGTCTAGAAATATGGGCATCAGCATGTTATGCAACTGCAAAAATTTTCAGAACCTCCAAGTAAAATGAATATACTACAGGCAACTTCATATCCCTGTTACAACTTACCACTATCCGAAAAACATCAGGTGGAAGAATTTCTGCAACCTTAGCAACATTCTCTAATGACTGTCTTAGGAAGTGCTGCCACTCTGTTTCTGACTGGAAAAAAAAAAAGATATAAAAATAGAAATGCAGGATACGAAATATTAGAAAAAGATAAACTCTGAAACTTATGATTTTAGAGAGATCGTGAGAGACAGAGAGAGAATATGGATTTAGTGATAGTTCTAAATGCTATACTCACATCATCATCTAGAGTTTCATCATCTAGTGTCTCTAGTTGAGATTGGTTAAAACGAAACTGTAACTTCTGCAGAATCTGACTGACCAGTGATACCAAGGCTTCTTTATACCTGATTGGAATTGCATCGAAAATCTGTGTTTTAACGTTTTCAATAAAATGGCATTCAAAGCATAAAAAAAGTTTTGCTAATTATTTTTTAAATCACATATAATTAAATTAGAAAGAACATCAACAAGCACATTAATAATCATAAAATTAAACAGCAAGGCTGGCAAATATACAGACTTTGGAAAAAAAAAGAAACAGGAAGTCAACCAGTCTACACGTGACTGTCACTTATAAAGACAAATCATTCTTGAAAATATTAGCAGTTCTTAAGGTGAACAAGTATGTGTATGGTAACAGTGATGGCAACAACATGCATGGAAATGTGATGTGAGTTAATACAGTCTTTTACAGTCTGATCATTAAAATATTTCACAATCAGGAGTGTATGGTGATCTCTTTGACTCAGTCATTCAAAACCTCACTTTGAACTCCACCAGACAAGATTACTTACTTGGAAATTATGGCATTCACATCTAGTGCACGGTTTGTCAATTTGACATTGAGATAGTCTAAAAAGATGGTCCATATATCCAAGCATCCATAGTATCCTTCATGAGTGGGCTGAAATAACAAATCGAACAACATTTGAGATGAAAAAAGAAATATCAATTTCTAAAATAACTGATTCTTTATAAAGATCTCATTACACTTTATTTTAACATCATTTTGCTACATTCACAAAGCTGCATTTAATAACTGCATTAGTCCACAAAATAAGCATTCGCTTGTAAGTATTTTACTGGAAATCATTGCAACTTATACAGTACACAAATTTTTCAATGGCTTTCTAACAGACATAAGACTGTAAAAACAAAATTGCAAAATCTGCTGAACTGGTTTTCTGTTAATAACTTAAAACATCATTCCCCCCAAGTCACATGCTTACACTCAAGGGCAGTGCTGCCATAAACATGACACAACTATTGACTTACTTTCTTTAACCATTCCCTCTTCTCCCCACAGTGCACTGAAAGACAATACTAGGACTAATGTCATACCTGTTTAAATGTGTACTTAAATAACAATGCCAGGAATTCAAGGACTGGAAAGGAGTTGTTGTCCTCAAATCGTCGAAGGTGAATGCTGACAAAAAGTCTCAGAAATTCTGTGAATTTCTCAATGTAACTGAAATGAAAACAAAATAGGAAACATTTTTGATACTTTTCTTACTTTAACCAATGGATTTTTTATAAGCCAAGGGGGGAATTATTTTGAGATGACTGACAGAAAAAGTATTTATGCATCACGCAATGAAAGTAGTTTTTCTATATTTGTTTAAATCTTAAATGCAAATGTGAGCTTGCATAAGTTTTTTTACACATCTTACATTAGACATATTCATATTAATAAATAACTTGGTACCTTTCATCAAGCTCTTCCAGCTTATTCCCAGACGATGTCGTGGTACTTTCTTTTGTAAGTCTTTGCAAGAGATAAAATGTCTGCTGAAACATTTGCAGTAAAAAATCCTCAAACTCCTGTGGGACACAGTTCTTTGAGAGCAGTTCATTGATACAGCACATGGCAAGCACACCTAGAGATTCAGAGTCCGTGGTGTAACTGCCATTCAAGTCTGAAGAAACCCCTCCGCTACTACGATTGTGTACCGAGGCAGATTCGCAGCCAAATGCCGCAAAGTGAAATATAGTGCTGAGCAGGTTTGGGGTGATAGTGGTGGACAGAGGTATCCAACTGAACAGATGTGAGAGACAGTTGAGTGCCAGAACACATGTATGGTGTGACTCAGAGTCCAGGGGAGGGATAGATTCATATTTGATGGTCTTGGCAGGGGAGCTGAACATGTTCTTCAGTATCTGACCTATCGGATAACATGAAATAAAGAAGTTAAAATGAAAATCAATAATAATGCATTGGACAAAAAAAAGTATCATACAGTGTTGTCTTTGTCATAATAAAAACAACCAAAAATGCCTGTACTAAGGGATTTTTAACATATACATATACTAACATACCTCTCATTAATTATACTAAAATCATCTTATGCCTTTTTACACCCAAATATCTAATATACAAATTTCTGCCTATGTAAGATGTTTAAGACTGCCTTCCACCTCTAAATGTATCAGTACTATTATAAAAAGACTCCCTTATCAATGTCTCATAACTTTACTCACTTGGCTGTATAGGATCATTGGTGAATAAAGCAAATGTTGCTGATTTGGCTGGTGCATGTGACACCTGACCTTGTGTAGGAGATGGAGGAGGGGTGGCAGCCACTAGGTGACGATGTTTTTCTAAGATGGCTTCTAAAGTATCTGGAAAAATAAAATAAAACACTGACTCGTAGGCATTTTGTCCATAAGTGTGTAATTCAGATGTTTTGGAAATGGATATATTACATGCTAGATGATGGTATATGCTGTTATACCTAATGTCAACTCACTCAATCACTAAATGCACAATTTTCAATGGTTTTGTCATAAATTTGACATTTTCATTTATGATGCAGCATAACAAGTTGGGAAATGCCATGACTTTCTCTTTGAACCAATGAAAAGTCACATACTACTAATTAGACTAAGCATAGTTGGGACTTGCTGCAGCAGGAGTCTATTAAGTTCATCCTTGCGAGCAGCACTCAGATCTTCCCGGGGACAAGCCAGTTCTTCAGATGATGTTTGGATGAGGACAATACCCAGAATGACTGTCTCCTGGTGCTGAATTAACTGAAAAAAGAAATGACACTGTTATTTTACATTTCAGGTTATTTAAATATGTAGCCTTTTGATTGTGAATTCTGTTTAAGAGTTTGACTCACAAGTATACATTTTTTTTGCTCTGATGTATCTGGTAACATATTGTGGTATAAATGACTCAATTTTTTAAATGGGGGAAATTGTGAACTTTACAGATACTGTAAATTTTAAGTCATAAATACTTATGATAAGGATTTTCCTATTGAAGTGAAAGAAACAAAATTGAAAAGCAGGATTCCCTATAGTTACATTCTGTTCAGTAAACACACTTAAAAGGTATAAAGAATATTTTAATGATTCCAAATTATATATCTGAGAGACTGATAATTTTTTCCCAGTGAAAAGATATGAGTCATTACTGTACCTTATGAGAGGATATTAACATAATCAAATAGTCTTTAAAGACTTGAAATAAATACCAAGAGTGACGTTCTCATTATTAGTGAATGTAAATGCTGTTATGTCAGTCCATTCTTTACAAGAATAAGCAAATAGTGGATGAAGGAGCAGATGAATAAGAAAGTAATATGAATAAAACTACTCCAATGGCTTAAAGTGGTACCTGTAACATGCTTGTGAAGAAATCTGGGTAAAAGTGTGGCCAGTCAAGCCGCCCAATGTCCACCACAAGTTTGCACAGTTTGTTTCTGATATATACTGGCACTTTGGTATGATGTTCTAGAAGAAAGCGGTTCAGGGTATTCCTGATCTCCATCTTGTCTGATGCCTCAAGCCCTAGCCATTGCTTGTTAATCAAATTCTGGAGAAATAAAGACATTTTCACATATTAGATAAGATTACCTTTTAGGAAAATTGCCATGCTGAGTTTATTCACCATCCATATACAAGGCATCATGGTATCTCTTTCTATAAGTATGTATAGACAACTTTCTGAGAGGATATCTTTTACATGTGTATTGTCCAAAGGACAAAAATACCCCTCATTCCTTTACCCCATTTTACTTTTTTTGCCTTTTATCAATAAGTCAGCAGTAGTAGAATAAAGCACCCCACTTACATCAAGCACAGTTAGACAGAACATCATCACATAATTGTTCTTAGTGTTGGCCAGGAAATAAAGGCTGTGATGCCAAGCATCCCTCTGCTGACTGAAGTGGTTCAAAAGTTCCTCTAAAAAAATTATTAACATGAAAATAATGTGCAATTTCAGCATGAAGATGAATTGACATTTTGGAATACGACTCCCTCACAGACAGGTTATCAGGGATGTAAGACCACTTCTTCATTGATAAAAACTTTGAATTATATCAATCTGAAGATGATACAGATTGCATGCATTTAAGAAATGATTTCAAAACAACTGTCAGAAGGAGTAAAACAGCGATTGTCATATATTAAAACATAATGACAATGTTTTAAATGCAATTTAGTTAATCTCACCTATTTGTCGTTTCCTCTCATTTGTTGTTCTTGCATCAAAGAACTCTGACATCAAACCTTCAAGGGTCCTCAGAGAGGACTCGTCTGTAGCCTGACAAAAGTGGATAATATTAAAGTTAACAAATATACATTTATATATAAAAACATATTAAGTGATTGGATCACTAAGAAACATCCTGACATGAGAGCTATGCCCATTTATACATCCACATTCTACATTACAGTGCCTTGGGCTTTTCACCTTGGACTCAGAATAAAATCTGCCGAGGAAATATCTTCTAAATATTGTGCAGTACTGAATGAGACAATATGAGGCTTTTAACAGTTCCGTCTGAATCTTACACTTACGGTAAAGTGCCATGAATTTCGAACGGCTCTTGAATTTCGAACGATCTTAAAATCGGCCGTCTGGAGTTTTTTCTGGACCATGAATTTCGGCCAGTCAGCAATTTTGTGCGATCGTGATTTCGTGAATTTCGTACACCTTAAAATCGGCCACCGAGCTATTCTCGCGCTTATAAAGATCTAACAGTCGGCAATGTTGCCCTAGCGTACCTTTACCTGAGTACAACGTGTGCGGCCCAAGGTGCAAGATAACGATCGGTACAGTTAGTTTAGGACGCTAAACAACATCGTCATATCCATTCATTCAGATAACAGGAGAATCTATTAAGAGTTGTGCTATCGGGCTGTTGTTTCTTTACCGTAGTATTCGGTGTGAGATAGCGATCGGTAGTTTTGCTGAGGCGCACAATAGCATTGTTAACAGTAGAGACTTCAGTAACAGAACAAAAGAGCAATATAAAGAGCTGCAATAAAGATTACCATTATTGCTTTCTTGTCTCGCTCAGATCGTTCACGATCTCCCGCTGACGATCTTCCGCTAATGAAGTCCCTTGAAATGTACAAATGAAATGAAAAATATTTTTAAAAAT